AACAGTCTAGTGGGAATGGGGTCCAACAGACATGCTGCTGGTTTAGAAGAATTAACTATTGATGTGAGCTCTGAGAGGTTCACAGTAGAGAAGCTGTCCAAACACACATCTGCTTCTGTGGACGCTTCCAGAGCCGCTGCACCTAAAGACATGGTCTGGATTTGTTGTCTAATATTTCTCTCTCCTTCTTCATGGTTGTTCTGTTTCCATAGAGGTGTGGTTTATACTGCAGTGAAAAATGAACCCACAGTGAAGAAAAATGTGACAAAAACAAAGAAAATGTCTGAGAGCTGCTTGGGGTTCAAACTGAAAACACAACAGAGGATTCCCAGAAGTCAGCCAAATGTTCTGGCCCATTCAGCGCACCCTACGGTTCCTTAAAAATCATGCACCCGTACGACTTATGCTGAGTTGACTCACATGTGGTATTTCTCAATTTTAAAAGATCATTTTGCAAGTCAGGAAAATCTCAGTTTAACTAAAAACTCCTGAAGTAAAAGACTGTGACAATACCTTATTAGTAGCGTCTTCGGAGCTTTCTCTACACATTGATGGATGTTTCTGGCCTTTAACAAACACTCTTTCCCAATATTTACATAGGACAGCCTCAGAAACGCCCTCTGATACACCTTCCTGACATCAAATACATGTCATCTGTGCAGTCTAGTATCTTACGTGCAGAAACTTTTCACGTGAATGATTACATGAACCACTGTCAGTGTCTCCTGGAGGAATTAGCCTGAATATGTTTCCGCTGTACCTTCCAATGAGGCCTTCAGACTGCAAATCTGTCCATCCTGGACCAGAACCAAGCTGTATTTGTTGCTAAAATCCAATTTCCAGAATGTTGCAGGGGCTCAGAGATTGATCGACTGGTGCTGCTGCGGTTGAAACAGACGCAGCATCGATGTGTTTCATTTCTGTTGAATTCGCTCAGGTGACAGTTTGTTGGAGGTTATTCAGACCTCACTCCTGCCGCTCACATGATAATCTCATGTTTTTGCCTCGATTTCAGCGATTAAGATTAAGTTTAATTAAAAGTGCATCTGAAAAGCAACCTTTGAGTTTAAACGAAGACATTGGAAACAGCCCCCGGTGGAGTAAATGTGACTTTAAATGTCTGAGTTTCTGTCCACAATCAGATGAAGTGATGAGTGTTGTGTGAAACCCACGTTCAGTTTTGTGAAAGCTTTGATGCTATTTGTGATCTGAAACTGCTTTTTATAGACGATTCAAATCTGGACAAAGTTGTCTCAGAGAAGTGAAAGTTTCCGTCTCTGATTTGTGAAACGTTTATTGTATTTGTGAAAATGCAAAAGGGGAAACTTCTGCGCTTTCGTTTGTTTTTTAAGCTCTAGAACTCATCTGATAAGGTCCAGAGGTAAAAATACACAGAAATCTCTTTTTCATTTTCACAAATACAATAAAGGTTTTACAGATTTATCAGCGGGTTTCAGACACTGTCCAGGGTTTACACTCAGCTTCACTGTATTTTCCAGTAATACGTCCACAGTGTCTCTGAGTCATGCTAACTTTGCACTCTGCACACGGATGGACATGTCGCTAGCTGCGTTACACATCAGCTGCTGATCACCTGCACACCGGCTTTGTTTCCCTGTGAGTCTGTGGGTAGCTCTCAGTTCAGTGTGTGTTGGAGCTGCAGATGTTCAGCACATAAAATGACTTTTTCCTCCTTACAACAGCTTCTACTGCTGCATGGAGAGCTGAGAGTCTCCGTCTTCTTGTGGACATGAAACTCCATGGAGCATGGAGCAGCTTTGAGCAACAACCTGCAGGTTGTTGCTCAAAGCTGCAGATTCCTGACGTCTTTCCTTTCAGCAGTTTCACATTGTGCAGCAACAGTTTTCCTCCTCAGAGTTCGGCAGAGCAGGAACACCAACAGTTTACAGACGTCGTCCAGCGTCCATCCTCAGGGTCTCGCTTTCTGTTTCAGTCACTCGTCTGTGGACATGAGCCACTTTGGACACATATTTGTAACGTTGCAGCGATATCAAGTCATTTTTGGACATGTTTATGTCATTTTTGGCCAGTTTTGAGTCACTCTGGATACCTGTTGGGTCCTTTTGGACAAGCTTTTGTGTTGGGAGCAGAGGTGCAGAAGCACCACCAGCCTCCATCCTCTGAGTTTCATCTTCCATTTGATTCAGCTTCTTGTCTGTGGACATGAGTTATTCTGGACGATGTTTGAGTGATTTTGGACACATTTACTGCAGTTTTTCACATTCTGATTTGTCATTTTGCAGAAATGTTCAGTCATTTTGCACAGGCTCGGAGTCCCTTTGGACAAATTTGAGAAGTTTCCAGTCATGTTGGACAAACTAAACGGCAAACAAGTTTATCATTTATGGCATTTTTTGAGTCATTGTTGGTCAAGTTTTTGTAATTTGGCAACAGAGCAGTGTGGCAGGAACAGATTTATGCCTCCATCCTTCTTCCATTTGATTCAGCGTCTTGTCTCCAACTTATGAATGGAAATAAACCAATACAAGAACATGCAGGTGACCAGAGCAGACATGCAGTTCGTTAAATGTCCGTTCAAGGCAGATAATTTCTGTTTCCTTTCAGCCGAACTGGGGAGGGAAAGAACACGCTAAAAAATAAAAATCTGTTTTTGGTGGAAAGCTGCAGAGCTTGTGTTTTTTGCATCAACATATGCAGTTTTGTCTTCGTTTCCCTGAATTACAAACAGGAACCGCAATCAATGTGACACACAGCAGGATTAAATAAGCCAGCATTCTCCTATAAATATCATTAGTTTAAGTATTTATTAATCCTGGAAGAAATTCTTGTACCAGATATTGCTCAGAAGAAAATTACATAATAAGAGAATAAATGCAGTGCCTCCTAGAACAACAGTGAGATGTCAGTATGTGGCTGAAATGAAAAGAAATGAACTCAAATAAGTTGAGAATAGGACAATAAGAAGCCACACATTTTCTAAAATCTTAATTTAATCCCAAAGAGATTTGATTTCAACAGTAAGAACATTTTGTGCTTTTTTAATCAAAAATGATGCTTCAGTGCAAAAACTGAAGTGAAAACGAGATTTATGTTTTTTTCATTTGAGTTCAGCAGCAGCTCTGACGTCTCCATCGCAGCTTTAACACTCAATTATAAATGCAGGCTTTTTTTTTTCTTTTTTTGCAATCTCCTCTCCATTTTTGTACAACAGGGCCAAGCGGCTCGCCGAGGAAATGAATTAAATGATTATCCTCCCAGCAATCAGCCCATCTATCTCAAAGGGGGCCAACAATAGCAGGACTCAGAGCAATAATCTGCTCCTGACAAGGCAGCAGCGAAAACAAATGGGTCCGTGCAGTCAGTGTGTGGGCTCAGCTGGCACCAAGACACGCAGTGTAACATGGTTTAGCCGGATACCAGCCATATAAGCAGACAGCGCTCCTCTCACCTCACCGGAGAATCCATTTATGGAGAAAGTGTGACCGGAATTCCGAACGATGGAGCTTTTTTGTTCCCTTTAAATGAGGCTGAAATGCAACAAGAAGCTCCGGTGTTTGTGATGAAAGTCAGAAATCTAATTCAAACTGAGCCATCACCTGGACGCTGGCCTTTATTTACTTTAACAGGATACAGGTCTTTTGATTTATTCCACGTTTCGTCACGGCAACCTCCACCAGTCCTATTTCTGGAGTTCCCTCTTTTTTTTTTAAGAACCCCAAGTCCATATTTGGTAAATGACGCAACGGGACACCCAGAGATTCCCTTTATAACCATCCCGCACCGTCCAGGAGCTGTTTACAAGAGATGAGAGGCGGAACAGACAAAATGAGGGGAAATATTCATTCCGTTTGAGAGCCACTTAGGCAGCAAAGCGGACACTTAAATATAAAATTAATTTAAATCATCTCAAAGACGGAATGACGGCGAAAATAGTCGATGAAGTTTCTGCTTCTCTCAGTATTGTCGATAATATTCCTAAAGATGTGTACACAGAAACCTCGATGGTTTTCAAAGAAGAGGCTGTAGGGGAGGAGGAACATGAAGGGAAACCTGATGAGAATGGAGGCGGTAAGAATTTGTGGCTGCGCAAAATGACCCAGATAATAACCAATCACCTTGTGCGTAAAATGTTAAAGATGCAAAACTCAAGTTCTTCTGAATTTGCATTCTAACTGAGTGTACTTTTTCTGTTTTCCAGGAAACCTTCTGTTCGGAGAGAAGAGCGCACCTGAGCTGCCTCTCCAGGGTGACTTGGCGCAGTACGTGGCAACTTTACGCACGCACCCGGTGGCGTTTACCGGCAAGTTTTCGGTGGATTCCAGAAGTGCGGGAGGACCGTGGACACCGGGGGACGTTATCGACGTGGTCAGCGCGGACATCGCCACCCCGGGGCCGCCCACGCTATCTGGATCGCCCTCAGCTTCGCCAGATATTTACGCGGGAGGAGGAGGCGGAGAGGCAGCGGACGCGGGGGACGGCACCATGGCGCACGGCCAGCCGGACATCAGCCACATGTACGCGCCCCCTCACTCTCACCCGCACCCTCACCCGGCGCCGTCCTACTCGTGCGGCGGGGACATGTACCAGGACCAGTCGGCAGGGGGATACCTGGCCACGTCCACCTGCGCCGTGTCCTACCACCCGCCTCCGTCCTACAACTCTGCGCCTAAACCGACAGTTGACGGCGCCGCGCTGCTCTCCATCATGCCCGAATACGGAGGGTTCTATCAGCAGAGCTGCCAGAGAGACATCCAGACCGCCTTCCCGGAGAGGAAATCCCTGCCGTACCCTCTGGACTCCCTCCGGGTGCCTCCGCCTCTCACGCCCCTCAACACCATCCGGAACTTTACGCTCGGTGCGCCCTCGCCGGCCGCCGACGGTCCGATGGCCGCCGCTTTCCCAAACCACCAGAACCTCCCCCTCAGGCCGATCTTGAGACCCAGAAAGTACCCGAACCGACCGAGCAAGACGCCCGTCCATCAGAGGCCGTACCCGTGCCCGGCGGAGAGCTGCGACCGGAGGTTCTCCCGGTCGGACGAGCTGAGCCGACACCTGCGCATCCACACCGGCCACAAACCGTTCCAGTGCCGCATCTGCATGAGGAACTTCAGCCGCAGCGACCACCTCACCACGCACATCCGCACGCACACCGGGGAGAAGCCGTTCTCCTGCGACCAGTGCGGGAGAAAGTTCGCCCGGAGCGACGAGAGGCGGCGGCACATGAAGATCCACCTGCGGCAGAAGGACAAAAGGTCCTCTGCTTCCTAATCCCCGCTGAAAGTCAACTCTGTGCGGGCTGCTGCCACGTCCTGCCCGCCCAAACTTTATCCTGTAGTTTAAATCAATCGCACAAGAAGGGAGACTTGTCTTTAGAAGCCATATCTTTAAAAAAAAAAAAAAAAATTATCAGGGAGAATCAGAACCAGAATCTTCATTATTTATCACAAAACACAAACCGTCACTAGTCAGAGGTAAATGAAGTGAAATCTAAAGGAGGTTTGGTTGGAGCCAGTGGTGCCGTCCTCTTCCAAACACAGCGTGTTAAACTACCAGCAGCACATGGTGTCTACTGTCTATGCTTCATGCTCTCAGGGATTCAATCACAGTTCAGGCGGCAAAGACGAAACCAAAATCCTGCAGCTGAGTGATGCAGGAAGGTTTCCTGTCTGCAGCTGAGCAGGAAAATAGGAGTCAGCCAGGTGACTTTTGGACTTTGAGCCTAAATTCTTCTGGCAATGAGCTGAGAATCTTGTGTTAGTTTCCTTGTGCCTGACACACTGGATGCATTAGAGGAAGAAAAAAATCCATTTTCAGCTGCAAAGACACAGGATGGTATGAGGACATGTGTGTTTCTGTGGAGCTTCAAGTAAACGGCTGTTACTCTCCAGAGTCTTTACATTGTTCACATGTTCACATAAACAAACCAACGGATGTCAAACGGTAATTACTTGCTGCAATTCTGCAAAATATGAAACAATAAAGGAAGAGAGGGATGCCAGAGGGCACTGGAGGGACAGACTGGGCTAAAGAGAGACTTTTTGTTGGCTAGAAGCAGCAAAACCAAGCTTCTTTTTTTTTTTTTTTTAACCTGCAGGTTTTCTATCATATTAGAAATGTTGTCTCACACAGCATGTTGGGATTTTACAAGACTGTAGCCTGATAATCTGTTATTTTATGGTTGATTTTTTTTTATTGTTGGATGGTTTCAGCGTTTCTACCAGATGAATGTGAGATTAAGAGACGGAGTCACTGGAATAAAGTTCTGTTGTTGTGTTTTATAATTTTTATGCAAGCACTAAAGCTTTTATTCTGATGCTTCTTGTTGATGCAAATAAATGTTGACTTGTTCCGTCCTGTGTTCTCCTGCTGTTGCTTTTGAGTGCATGTGAACTACAGAGACGTATTTTAGGGTGTTGACACAAAAACCTCCCTTCAAGTCTCGTCTACAGGTTTTGAACTGCTTTCTGCCACAAGTCTGTGCACAAACCCGTCCAGAATCGGTTTCTCATAGTTTGGGCCTCGCACTGTGAAAAAATTGCACTTAAAAAAAAATACAGTTTCAACAATAATTCTTTGAAAAATTCAGTTATTTTACAGATTTTCCTTAATTTGATAAAGTAAAGTGATAATTAGCAAATGACTCAATGTGAAAAATGAAGAAAAAAAAGGTCATTTACAGTCATGGAAACCGGATCAGATCACCCTGTTTTCTTCAACTTCCTGTTCATTTTCCCACCTGGTACCACTAAAGGTCCATTTGGACACATAATGATAACAAAAAAAAAAAAACCAGCTGGTCAGACTTTAACTTCAGAGCTGGTATCAGACATGTTCCAGGGTTTCTTGGTTCTAAGTTCTTCCACCAGCAGCTATGGCATTGTGCTGCCAGAACCAGAGCTGTTAGACGGTCCATGGTTCCTGTTCTGTCTGTTTCAGTCACATGATGCACAGGACTTAGTACCTGATGGCAGAACCATAGTTTGTGATGACTGCAGCCATGCGTCTCGGCTGCTCTCCACCAGGTTCTGACATGGTTCTGCTGCCACAGCAGCCCGTTCCTGCTGCTCACATTCACACTAACGTGCTTTGTTTGTGGGCTTGTGCTTCTCCATTTAGCCTTTGTTGGTTTCCACAGGTTTTCAGCTGGATGTAGATCTGGTGACTGAGCGGGCCAAGGCATGGTTCCAG